TTAGTTCTTTAACAAGTCCAAATATTCTGTTGGCTACAGGAGAATATTGAGGTGGAAATTGAACTACCCCAATCTCCCAATCTAAGCACCAACAAGAGTTTGGTGCGCCTATATGAGAGGAGACATCACCGTAGCACTCATGTTACCAATTTAAAGGAATCCACATTTGTCTGCCAAGACCTTGTCCTGTCATTAGGGGATTGTAAAATTATATTTGATGGCATAGTACGGCATTTTGAGAGAGATAAAACAATTACTATATTAGAGGATGGATTTTATTCACAAAACTTGAAGAAGATTGACCATGATAGGAAGACTCTGGAGTGAAAATACTTAAATATTGGAAAATAATTTGTATGCCATTAAGCTTATTAAGCTTATTCAGTAACAATTAAGTACAGACTTATCAACAACATATTTATTATCTCTTATTTAGTTACAATCCTACTTAGTTATTTTCCTATTTAGTATTTTAGACATAATAAGATAGAGACTTCATAACTATTTCAGTGCTGCTGTATTGTTTCAGCGCTGCTGTATTATTACACAGACTACTGTCATTACTCAGCATTAACAAGATTTTTGAGTTGATTCGAGATCTCTTGTTTTGCTCTGGCTATATGATGAAAGACAAATAGTGCTTTAAAAAAGCAGAAAATTTGACAAGAAAGCAAAATCATACCAGGGTCATCAAAGTAGCAACCAATACCAGTAGCAGATATGCCAACTGCATGAGCTTCTAAATACAGAACCTGGCCAAGAACTCCAGTCTCCCAAAACAGCCTAGGATACATCCAAGCACCCTTGTTTTGTAATGTAGGCTCAAAATGAGCCACCATACCCAGGCTGAAGCAGCCATCACCAGCAATATCCTGCACCGAGTATGCGATGTTTTAGCAAAAGCTTTCAAGATACATACCGTAAATACAGGCCTTCAGTAAGAAGCCATCTTTGTTTTTCATTCTTTAAAGCAAAGGTGTCAAACTCCAAATTGGACAGACTGATAAGCAAGATAATTCCTTTTTGCATGCACGATCAGTGATAATAACTGAAGAAATAACCTGATAATAGTATCACAACATCTTGACAAAAAAAAAATACAACTGCAACTATGAAATGTTATGGGACAGTTTATCAGTCAAATAATTAGTGGTTGATCAATCTAGTGCTAACAGTCACAGGACCTAGCATCTGTTTGAAATTTGTTTAAAATGCGGAAGCATAAACTATATATTCTGAAAGAAAGACACAATAAATCTCGCCATTAGTTCAAACTAATATTTCTTTCTAAAAGAATCCAGTATTGTTACTCACTTTCCAAGAGTTTCTTAGGACCACAAGAAAAAATCTCCAATAGCCAAATAAAGAAAAAAAAAAAAACAATTTTCATACCTGATGGCAGGACAGCCGTTTGGCGAGCTGCTGACAATCACCCTTAGCAAGCTCATAAAGAGAAAGATGATCAGGGCAACCTTCGGGTTTGGCCCACTTAAAATCAGAGTTCATAGCATTCTTGAGCTCCCCAAGATGATCCTCATTCCTCACCAAGAAATACAATCCCTTTGGCAACCCTGCCACCCTATGCACAAACAAAGCAGCATGAATTTCAGCATCCCAAGAAAGAACCCGGAATGGCAATGTTAATTGCCTCTTCTGCTTCTCTCCAGTGGCGGAACCTGAAGGAAGACAGTGCAACAGTATCTGATAGAATGTTTCCCTCTCCATCTGAGTATTTCCATCCATATCAACCGCACTTCTTCTCTTCCTCACAACTTCCCTCAATGTAAAATCCTTATATGAAGCATCACCATAATCCCTGCTACCCCGAAATGGATCAATCGACAATCCATTTCCTGTGGATAACGGCTTTTTCACTGACTCAGCTGTTCTGTAAATTACATCCCAACAAACATGCTGTTTACTAAGCACGTTAGGCTTCCCTTTCCAGTCCATATTGGAAAACTCCGTTACCGCTTCACTCAGTTCCTTATAATTCAGATCAAATTTGGTAATCCCATGAGGAAAAACAAGAAGCACGCAATCCGGGTGCTCAAATTCAATCTCAGGAATCTTCCCTTTAACGGGTCTCGAAGGAATTTGAAACTCCGGGAAAATATTAAGGCCCATTAGGTTCTTCAAATCCTTATACCCTAAACCGTCGAGAAGTTTCACATCCCATCCAAGCCCCGCAGCAGCCATTGCTACCGCTGAGATGGCATGTCCCACATCGTGATTGCAATATCTGAACGCTCGCTCCCCATACTTCCAGGCCTCGCGCCAGAAAATTGAGGAAAACCCAATAAGAAAAGAATTCTCGGGAAAGAATTTATGGAAAAACTCAGTTGGGATGTTGGCTCTGAGCTCCAAAGAATGATCTTTTGGAGCGTAATGCGCCACAAAAGCTGAGTCAGAGACTGCCTCTATCGGAGGGGCAATAAGGTATGACTCGGTTGGGTGCAAATTGCCGCTACTCGGGTTGACCCGTAGCGACCAAGTGGAGAAGCCGGTGCTTTTCCAGGCGGAGAGAGCAAGAGAATCATAGAAAAGCTGAGAGATAGTGGATTGGGATAAGGGTTTTGGAGGAGGGAGTGAGAGAAAGAGAGAAGAGTATGAAGGAGAATCAAGGGCTGATGGGTTCTGATTCACAGTGGGGACATGAAGCAGAGGGATGAGTGGTGCAGAGATATAACGACGAAACGGATTAGGCTGGTTAGCCCAGTCAAGGCCATGAGGCCCTCTGGCGTAGTTATTGAAGGAATGCTTAGTCTGGTTGTGGTATTTGAGCACTTGAGTCAGTTGCTCTTGTAGGTTGTCTTCTTTGTTGGGATTAGTTACAGGTGGTGATGACGACGAAGAGAGGGACATGATGATGAAGGTTTTGTTCCTGATAAATCGTGAACTCACAGACCTTGAAGGAAGAAGATGAAGATGGGAAGAATGAAGATGGCAAGGGAGCTTTAGAACAAGGTTTGTCATTTTTTTCCTTTTGATTTCATGGAGAAAATATTGTTCATTGCTCTTCTTCTTTCTAGATGGTCGATTTCTCTGGAGCGCTCTGTAGTGATTCTATTTGAAAACAGAAATAAATAAATAAATAAATATTATATGGTAAAAAGATAAAAGAAGGAAAGAGCATGAAAAGAACTATAGGAAAATATAGAGTAAATAAATAATTAAAGATGGTAATTTTTTTAATTTATAAAATGACTTAATTATTATTTTTTAAACAACTGATTACGTTACTAAATTCAAACATTAAGAAATATTGATAAAATTATTATGATAACAATACAAATCAATTCAATTACCGTCTAATAATATATACCATTAAGCAAACATAAAATATATTGAAAATGCACAATTGTCCTTTTTAGTGCTTGTGAGTGGCATCTCAAATTTTTGTTAAGAAAAATAATTAAATTACTTACATTTAAATAGAATTGTAAAAATAAATAATTATAACACAATCTAAAGTAACAGTCAGAAAATCAAGTAAAGCAATGTATGCAACAAAAATCAAATATGTTTTGATTGTAAAATATTTTTATTTTTTATTTAATTTGTAAGTTCATATTTAAAAAAAAAAAGAAAATAAGAGGTTAAACTTTATTATTTCAATAATTAATTCTCCCAAGGTCCAAGTGAGAGAAAATTGAGTATAGCAATGCAAATCCAACCATAACGAAAGACCAGATGTCATCACACCTAATGAGATGGCATGCCTCTATGATCTTGGGGGTATTAATTGAGATGTTAGTGATCCTATAAATGCTAAATGCTAATGCAGATAGAAAAAAGTACAAATAAACCCATGTAGTGCCCATGCAAACAAGAATTTTTAACCCTCCACACATGGAAAAAAAAAACTTC